CAAGGAAATGCACAAAATAACAGTCATTATTAGAACCTAAGAAGAAAACCCATGTTTTTAAACAATTACTAAAGCAGTATAGTAATAGCATAAAGACAATTTCTGCGCCAGCTTGTTTCTCTGAAATTCTCTCTGCCACTGAACAGCTAGAACAGATAATAACTATTAGTAAATCAAACTCCTCTGCAATATCCAGCTGTGCCTCACGCATTTACATACAGATAGAATGGGTATATGTTTTTAATATGTATGGGATACGTACTTTTCCCACAGCCGAAGTGCATGCTACAAAGGAGGAGGAGAATGGGAATCGGATCAGCATGAGATAATAAAGTGGCCTAGATAAAGTATTAGCCAGCGATTGATCTCAAACCGGGATGCTGCTTCTCCTGACCTGATTACTTACTATGCATAGATTCCATTAAATAGAGCTTAGACATGGGAAGCTCCTGGAAATACTCTAAATGCATAGAAGGATCTACAGCACTCTGAGCCCAAATTGTAACTGTGTGGGTACCCGCGGCACTCGCCCTCCCTGCCAGAGCCAAGGCCCTCATTCAGAACAGGCTGGGAGGTTAAAGGGCTGCCAGACAGCTGATGGAAGCCCTGCTGCGCCCCACAAGGAGGGGCCTCCCCCACCCCCACACCAAGCAAGCACCCTTCCAGTGAATGAATGCCCCCTCCTGAGCTGCCTGTCTGGTCCTGGCCACACAGCTCTAAGGAACAGAATGGGAAGGTAGCAAGGGAGCTTAGCAATCATTTAGGGTCATGGTCTCCTTTGCAAAATTAGTGATAGGCATGAATTTCTCTTTTCAGGAAAAAAAAAAGTAAATCTTCACAACCACACATGAAATGTTAGGGGTTCTAACAGACTTCCTGGAGTCATAGACCCTGGGACAAGGCCTGCTGATTCAGTCTGTCCCCTTGATTTTTGGAGGAAGATGCTGAAGTAAAGGGGATGGGGCACTGTTTGGGTGATACAGGGAAGGGCGCATGGCAGAGGCTCTGTCCGATAGGCCACAGCCCCACCTGAGCAACCAAAGGACCTAAAGGAAGGTTAATTCCTTAGGAGGAATTCTTTATAGAAATAAGTGGTCTATAATGTTTTATCATATCTCTTTAACTTAAAAATATTTAAACATGTAATTTGAGTAGCGAAATCAGACTAGAACCCCTATCCAAATGCTCTCTTCTTTGGTCGTCTCTCTGTCCTTGAGTTTAAGGGTCTGATTTTGTTTCCTCAATCAGATTATTGGCATTTTGGGGAAATTTCTCTACCACCTTTCCATTATTTTCTCTCCCCTCTGCTGGAATCTCATCATTCTTTTTTTGACTGGCAGAAGTGGGTTTTTCCCCATGTGAGCCAACACATCCGTGGTGGTCTGAAGCCTGCAGAACATTCTACCTGCCACCTCCTCATGCTCCACTGCCTGAAAACTTTTTTCTAAGTTTGTTGATCCCAGGCCACCAGGCTGGGCAGCACATTCCAAGGTTCTCCCTGTGATTCACATCAGTGTGATTTCAAAGTGGGTTCTTCAATAATGGAATCATTACAGAGGGGCAGAAAGAGTTGGGGGTTCCCTATCTTGGCTGCCCATGGCTGGCTTTCCTTTGTGGAGTTTAAAGCTGACTCTCAATTCATGCAATAGGCTCTTAAAGAGCTGAAGAGAAGGCGCTGCCTTCCTCAGTATGAGGGACTTCCCTATGCATTAGATGAGTAGTGAATTTCAAGAGAATTCACTCAAGGAAAAAGGTCCACGTGGACGGGTGTGTTGTGTTATTTCTATATAGTCAAGAATTTTCAGACCTGGATATTAGAATTCCTTCTGTAGAAGTGAAATTTCTTAAGAGACTACCTAGCTCACAGTGACTATGTTGCCTCTCTGAACTCACAGCTTTGAGGGCTTAGGATTCCATCAGGTCAATCAATGTCAATGGGTTCATGTTGGAGCAGGCACTAGAGGCTTCCCTCTGCTCTGAGAAGATCTGGCGCCTACACACAACTTCTCCTTTGCCCTTTTTGCCTAGAATGGCCTCTTGGAAAACTCTATTAAAATACAACCCATCCTCCGAAGGTCCTTTTCAAAAGCTACATCCTCAACACAGCTTTCCTCAGTTGCCCAAATTCCTTTATAAGAGCCACTTTATTCTGAACAGTTATCTGTGTCCCGACATATCCCCTGCAACACTAAACACCTGTGGCTTACTTTATATCTTTTGCTGGGTCTAGTACAGGACTTTGCACTTAGTGAACTATATAAATATCTACTGAATTCTATCATTTACCTGGTCCTGAGACCTTTTTAAGAGGATATGGATGCTGATGATGAAACTTTTGAGGGAATTCTTATGAAGCTTAGTGGCTACACACTGGAAAACTGCACCAGCTCATATGGACCTTGGCTTCCCAAAAATGTGTTAAGGGAATTTCTTAGTCTAGCCTTAAAAGTCTTCCACTTAGGACACAAAAACTGACAATCATCTGAAGAATGAACACCCACAAGAGAGGGAATTAAATAACCAGATAACAATGAGTTCTAACACTCAGGTTTTAATGATCTCAAGAGTTGAACCTTGAGTTTTACATTTCATTTTTAAGACTGACTTGGTCAGTGATTTTAAGACTTGGTATTGGGCATCCTGGCATCTACAGTGACCCCACCAAATAAAAAGACAAAGACAGCTTGAGTGCCCACTATGTGCACAGCCCAGGGCCAGAAGTCAGGGTAATGTGGCCCACCCACCCCGTGTTCTGATTTCCTTAGGCAAGGTTTGTTGTGTTCACCAGTCAAGCCAATACCTGGAGTTCATTTAGGAGTGAATGGTGAATCTACAACTCTCAGTATTTCCACCAGACTCCATCTCTGATTTTCTTCTTTTGATTTGGAAAATGCAAACCCACAGGGAAACCTTGAAAATCCTGCAGGCCTCAAAGCTGACGCAGCCCAAGCTGTGCAGCCCACGTTGGTACCCACTGGCTGGAGTTACTGTGCTTGGGAGAGAAACTGCTCTTTTTGCGAAAGGCAGAGGCCCCCCACCCACAGTGACAAATGGGCTCTACAGTTCACGCATTCCAGAGGAGGCTCCTGGCTTCCAGATGGGAGCACCACCACATAGCTTGTAGGCGGAGAGGGAAAAGGAAAAATTAAAGCCATTAATATGCTGGGGGGAATAAAGAAACTGTTCCTTAAGACTGGGTCCCTAGGATGTGACACAGATTCATGTCAAGGGATAACCTACTTCCTTTCCTATCCCCTGCTGGGTCTAACCTTTTGGCAACCTTGACCACAGCAGCCCCCACCTCCTGTTCCCAGCCTCCACACCCAGCCCCTACCAAATGAGGGGTGCCTCATTACTGCTATTCCTCTGGGAATAAATGCATTTAAAATCAAACAGTGAGTAGTACTAGAAATAATGTTAAATTAAGTATAGGATGGCGCTTCTGCTGACTACACTTTTCATTGTATTGTATTGATTTATTGATATTTATTAATTAAACATTTGGGACAGCACACACCAGAGCATAAAGAGATACATCTAAACACCCCTCCATACACACACATGCACGTACATCCACATTTACTTGCTTCCCAGGCACTGGAAGATCTCACCCTTTAGCCTTATCTTTATGACTTGCCACCCTGGAGAGGTGTTCCTTATCCACACACACATCCATATACATTTATGGGTATGTGCATGATCTGCAGATGTTTTATTTATAAGTGGCCAACTCGTTGCAGCAATTGAAACATGCATTTACAAACAGATATCTGTTTTATGAAACCCCATTCCTTTGTTTTAATAGCTGAGCTATCGAGCCATAGCTTAATAATGCACAAGGTAAACATCTCTGGAACCTGTTCCAAGTCTTCTCAAATGTGACTAACTGCAAGGATTCCCCAATCACCAAAGAGAAGGAAAACAAAACCAAACCAAAACCCAATAAAACCCCCAACCCATCCCAGTTTATTCTAGACACGAAACCAGCATAGCTGTAAATTGCAGAGGTTTTAGGGTGAACTTTAACTTGAAACTATGCTAAAAATTGAATTTTTGCTCTTGGGGCAACACAAAGGAGAAAACTCCCTACCTGGAGGGCACTTATGATGTAAAAGGGAAAGGTTCTCTATGAGTGGAGAGGAAACCTGTATTGTATAAAAGTTTGGGCACTTAGAGCATTTATTAGGATGGACTTTGAAGAATGAAAAGCTCTGGACCAATATCTGTAAAATGTACACTGTTTAAAAAGGTAAAGGAAAATCAGTGGTGATTTGCTCTGATTGCAGTGATCTAAAGACAGGGTAGTATGCAAAAACTTGGAAAAGAGTAGACCATAATTATTATTTACTAATGCCCCATCCTAACGTCATTCTAACAGCTTGTGCATTGTCAAATCAACAATCTGCACTAAATAAATGACCATTTGGGAATTGTTAGGGAGCTCTCTGTTCCTCTCCCTGCTTGAGTAAAAACTGTCATTTGCAATCAAAGAAGGATGCCTTGGAACTGAGGACACAGTGCTGGCAGCCTTGTAGTGTCTGTTTCTGAGGAAAGACCAAAGATTCACATTGACTTGTTCTTTTACAGCCAGCCTAATTTCATTCCACATGAATCCAGGACTCCATGCCATAATCAGACTCCTTCCTGTAGGACTGCACCAAACACTTAACACACACTGACTCTCCTCTCTGTTACCAGCCCTTTGGCTTCCGAAAGGCTGTAACAACAAATGAGGACACAGAATAATTGACATTAAGTTTGAGGTTCTTGAGGGAGGCAGGAGAGTTCTGTATTACATTTCAAAAGGGTGGTAGGTTTTTAAAAACCTAAGAACCATATCTAAGGATATGAATTTCAGAAACACCTACCTAAATCAAGTATACAATTCTGCCTTTCCAGAGCTTGTGGATTTTTGAAACTCCACTCTGATCTTTTTAATAGAATGTTAAACATAAATGTATAACTGGAGAATTTGAATGGAACTAAAAAAATGAACTTACCATCAATTCCTCAGGTGCTGGCCTTTCTTTTGGCTGTTTTCGCATGCTGTGGGAGAAAAAACAAACAAACAAAAAAACCCCCTCATATTATCTATATCATTCATAAATTTTTGCTGTTAATTTACACCTCTGACTATTTTTCCTTGAATCTGGATGTTTTCAAAATCCATCATGTTCAATTCTTTATGCTCAAGCATAAACATATATTCCCTTTCTTTAATTTTGGCCTTTAATCAGATTTCTGGGGACTTCATGAATTAGAAACACAAGGTTTTTTTGTTTTTTTTTTTTTTGGTTTGTTTGTTTTTGTTACTTTTGAAATACAGGTAAATAATGAATTTAAATTTATTGTACTTCTACTTCTGAAGTTAACATGGAAAAGCAGCAGCAACATTTTTCTCTGATTCAGTTATCTATTCATTTCAATTTTTTTTTTTTTTGTCAGTACTAGAACCCTGGGATGTGCTACAGCCCTAATCCCCCAGCCTTTTTTTTTGAGATGGGGTCTAAGTTGTCAAGGCTGGCCTTGAATTTTCAATCCTCCTGCCTTAGCCTCCTGAATCACTGTCATGTGCTCTAGCACTCGGCTCAATTTATTTCAATCTTAAATCAATATATTTCTGTTTGGTTACTGGTATAAGACAGTAAAAAAAAAAAAAACACATGTGACTGTCAAGTCAAATGAGAATACATTTCATTCCTTTACTACTATTCCCAATGACAAGTAATATATAAAAGAGGTCAGAAATCTAGATAATGCTGCGAAATTACAGATAGGTTCTTATACATTATCTTGACTTGAATTTTATTTTGGCTACAATGCCAGTTGATAATTCATTCAACAGCTATGGGACAGCTAAGTTTGTTTAAGCTGCTTAAAGAATTACATTCTTCATGCAAAATATTTCTTGTCTCCCATCCAAGAGTATAATTAGTGGCTGAAGCATGTACTTAGCTATGTGATGAAACACATAAATGGTACTAAGGTGACCATGGGTACTGCCTACTTGATGACCATGTTTGTTCTAAACTTGGCATCTGTGGTATGAAGACATGAAAAGAGACTCCTGCTTCTTTGATCATTTGGAAAAGAATACAGATGACTTTTCTTTATAAAATCACCCTCTAACAAGAAAAAAAGAAAACCGTTCATTATAATCTCTGCATTTGCTGACAGTACTATTTTTTAAATAGAGAGATTTAATGATCATTTTGTAAACTAGAACCGTAGTTATGAACCATTAATGACATCGAGGACATTTGCCTTCCCTATAAATAACCATATGCACCTCTCAAATACTGCATCCATTAGCAAGTAATTCAAGCTGTCTCACTATGGAGTTGGTAACAGTCCTAATCTGACATTCCAAAGTAGCTGTATCTCTTGGGAAAACAAGGCTATTACCCACTATTATTTCTCTTTTGGCTTGACATCTGTGGAAATTACAACACAGGTTATCCCTCCCTCTGTCTCCATAAAACTTTTATCTAACAACGGATTAATTTTTTTGGATAGGAGGGTAGTAAAGCCTCACCCACTTGTCTCCCTGGTTGTCTGGGTCAGTCCCACTCCTGGGTTGGTTTCAAGACCACACAATGAGATAAGTGGTCTGTCACAAATCCAACGTCTCTGGAGCCAGGAGTGGTGATGCCCAAAAGGGGTTCCAGGTAGCATACGAATTGCACGGTTTGTTTTTCAATTTTGCATCTCAAAGTGGGGTATGCCTATGATGCGATTCTGAGTGCTTTTAGTAATTCCATTTAAAGGAAATTAAGAAATTAATAAATGATCTTGTATAATGGTTCTAACGTCATTAATGAGATTCAGAAAAGCTAAGGATTCTAGTGTTTAATCAATATGTATGCTTTTTTCTCAACATGGCATGCTTTGGGAAAAATAGGTTTTTAGAACAAAAATAGTCCCTAAAAGCTATAGAATACATATACAAAGTATTTTAAATATATAGAAACAGTGTTAAAAAATTTTAAGTCCATGATGGGGGTGGAAATGTCTTCCCGACATTTTTTTTTTTTTTTTTTTGCTGTGGAATATAAACTGCATGAGACATTTTTATTAAAAGGTAACATATTATACTTAGTCAAGAAGGTGATAAAGCTTGACGTTTATATTAAGGAATATTTCTTGGTTTCACTTTAGCGTACTCATCAGATGGATCATGGGGGAGGGGACAGGGTACCATCACTCCATTCAGCACAGATTCCTGACTGCACTACCTCGCTGCACCCCAGGATGGAAGGACTCCTTCTGACAGGTGCTGCCTGTGTGCTTTGCACAGTGGACTGACTGAGGGGGAGGGAAGCAGGACTTGGGTGAGGAGGGAGAGAGGAGCAAAGGGAGTTATGAAGGAGTTCCAGAATGTCCTTGGGGACAGTTATTCCTACGCTCCCAGTTTCCTCATCTCTCCTGGTGATACTCCATGCTGGGGTGAGAGAGAGGGCACAGGGGTGTTGCAGGACAGGGAAGGGGAGAATGGAAGGGGCTAATGGAAGAAAGACACTTCCTGGTGTGAGGAAAAGATAGAAGGCTAGGGAAGAACTCTGGGCAGACAGGGCATGCTTCCCCAGGTGCATGGGGACCTGGGGTTCCTCGGGGCTCTGAGGATCCTTTGGTCTAAACCTGGATTCCTCTTAGTTTTTTAAGGATTGAAGAAGGCCTAAAGGAACTATGCTTTCAGAATCTTTCAAACATCAAAATTCAGTGAAATGGGACCCCAGTATTGTGTTTAAAATATAACCAAAGATAAAAGTTATTTACTGAAAATCCGATGAATTAATAAACTATGCTGCTTCCACTAAGTGACAGGCAGTTTTATGGGTAACTTGAGGTTACATTAATAAAAATAAGCTTCATATGTCTGTTCAACAGGGGCTATAAAATTGTGTATTTCTTAGGGAGGAAAAAAAAAAACAGGATGGAACAGTGTTCTGTGCTCTAAGAAGGAGCCTGACTCTCAGCAGTTTATTAAAACAGGAAGGAGCCTCCGAAGTACGTTTATGACCCTTTGTGTAAATAACGTTTACATAATTTAAACAATTTCTTCAGCTTTGCTGTCCCATCTGCCCAAGGCCCCGAAGTCCCTCCCGCCTCCAAAAGGAAGCAGGGAGAGCCATAAGGTCTCCCGGAGCCGCGAGTTAATGGCATGTATCATTTACATTGAGGGCATGGCATGTTTGCAAACGGGCTCACCACTGAGTGATGAAATGTACAAATGGCTCGGAGAACTCTCCAACCGGAAGGACGGGTGAATCCTGGGATGGAGGAAAAACAAGTCACCAAAAGTCACGAGCATTGCTTTCCTTTCTTTCCCTTCTGTCCCCTCCCCTCCCCCCGCAGAGGAGCAGCATAAAGATGAGCATAATGACAGGAGGCCTCATCCAATTAAAAAGACGGCTACACCCTCTTCCCCACATTTAGGCAAAAATGCCAAATTTCAAGGCACACATTTTATGTTGGTGAGAAACATTCGAGCAAAGAAGGAGGGGAGGTGAAAAAAGGACAATGATAGCCACAGGGTAGGAAGGAAGGTGGGGAAAGTGTAAATGAGAAATTAATGATTATTTAAGTAACACACAAATGGTCTTGTAATTAACAAAGAGCTGTGAAATTATTCTTGTGTTGACCTTTGTTTCCTTTACTAGGTTTGCTATTTATTTACACTTTCCTGTTTATTTACATTTATTTATATATTCAAAGGCTCTTAACCGCTTGTCCCTAAACTGGTACCTTTGTGTCAGATTATTAAAAAAAAAAAAAAAAAAAACTGTAAAGAAAGGCATTTATAGAGAAAGTTGTTTCAGGAAAAAGAATTTCAGCCTCTTTGCCAGCCTGGGCCAACTTGTCATAGGAGAGAGCCAGCGAATGAAGGACGCGAGGAAGACTCCTACCATCGCCACCAAACCAAACTGGGATGGAGGTGCGAGTCCCCGCAGAAGAGAAGAAACTGCACAGCAGCCGCTGCCAGGGAACACGGGGAGCGGCCCCCCATTACCATTTGCAAAGGAAGGCTTTAAGAATTTAGGAGTTTTTCCAAGAATGACAGAGAGCGCCACTGTGTTTATAGTGTAACAGCTCAGGATGTAATGAAATTACACTGCAGAGTACTTTAACAGTCATCTCATTAGACCTACAGTTGGAACAAGAGAGCCACATAAAGTAGGCAGCTGCAAATGACTCCATTCTCATCTATTCTCATTTGCTATTAAAAATACCTTTCGGCGGCTTTTTTCCTCCCTGACATCCCTACACAAAGTGCCCTGCAAAGTATGATACATGCACCTATTTAAATTAACAAAGGAATGACTTATTTTAATCTCACTGTGCTTTGGAGTGCTTTGGCCATTTGGATGAGCAATATATCATTACATACAACCTTCCAGCGCTGCAGGCAAGAAACTCAGAGCATGCAGCATTTGGTGGGAGCCAAACAATTTCTCTAGCACACAACTGTGTCAAATGCATGCATGTATTCATTATTGAGAACGAGAGGAAATAGCTTTGATGTAGTGGAAAAAAGAAGATGATAAAAGCACCTCTGCAATATGCGTGTCATTATCAATGGTGGCAGATAGATACAATTGCACAGCCTCCTATGTGATTAGTAAATATACATATAATTGCTGTGGCCAATTATCAGAAAAATGAGATCGGTAATTACAAGACAGAAAATTAACTAGAACTCTTATTAAGGCTTTGTTTCCAATTCAAACAATTGGAAACTGCTGGAAAATACAATTAAATCAAAAGGAACTGAGGGGGTCAAAGCGGCCAAAAAAGAAAAAAGAAAAAGGAAGAGAAAAAAAAATCCCAAAGAGGTTAACAGAAGAGGACCCAGAACAAAATAGTTCTTGGTTTTTGCATATCTATCCTCTTAGCATTTACTCTCCTCATCCAGAGGAGGGGAAGGCTGGTGATTCGAAACTTAAAATTCTCAGTGGAGAAAGGCTTCCAGAGAAAAGGAAAACAAAAGAAAATGGGAGTGGAATAAAATCTTGCCAAGTTCAAAGGCTTACATGCAGGCATTACATAGAGAGGACATGAAAAACGGTGGCTGACGAAGCAGTCTACTCAAAAGAAACAAGGCACACAATAACATGACAAGTCCTCGATAAAGGTACTATAAAATGGTCACAGAAGTCCCATTGGTTTGAAGAGCAAAAATAAAACATGATATCAATTTCAGCCTTGGCCTGTTTTAGGAAAGCCATATATATCACCAAGCCTGCAAGATTCCACAAGGTCCAGTTCAAGAAATGACATTTTACTGTCTCAAAAACCATTAGTAAAAAGATAGTTCAAAGTCTGAGGTGCAGAAATTATTATGAACTCTGATCAGTTAGGAAGCTTCTTGAAGTCATTCTCTTAGATCTTTCTTTTGCTCTATCGCTCTTTCCTAGAGTATTGGAAGTGTCTGAGTAGAAGAAGCTTTAAAATGCAGTATGTAGGAAAACAAAAGCATGCTGTCTTAATGGGGCTGAATATTTACCAAGATGGTTAAAATTCTGGATGGTTCTCTACCACGATCTGGTATAAAACATGATGCTAATGTGGGTCTCATTTCGAAGCATGATACCCAGAGCAAGTTAATGAATTATAGACAAGGCAACTTGATGAAGATGTCATTTTAACATGGATGAGAAACAAAAAAAGAAAATGTGACATCTTGCATGGGTAGTTAATTTTATTTAAGACCTGATATTGCAGACTGTTAAGTTCCTCGTATTATAAAACTAAGGAACACTGGGTGGTACCCATGAATAATTTATTTCACTTCTGAAAATGCCAACCCAAGTCGACTTCCCAGAACCACAGTGGATTCTCATCTCAGTGGTGCCTGGAAAGAATCACTCATCAAAGATGTGGGGGGAAATTTTAATTTCATGTGCATAATGCCAGATACTTCTTTTCATTCTAAAATCCATGTCTCTTGTGCATCAAGGAAGAATTTTCTAAAATGCAGAAGACAGACTGACTGGTAGGGGTGATGGAAATGACACACGTAAACACTGGGCAAAGGAGACCCCAGAGAGCTTCCAATTCCACAAAAATATGTAGGCTATTAACATGCCAAAGGGAAGCAGATAAATACACCTGAGGATGTCCACTGTGCTGGAGGGTTTTAAAGTACACTTTTCTCTTTAAAAAATAAAAGTAGAAGTTAGTGTAGATCAGGATATGAAAGGTCTCCAAGAACCTACCTATTTTGATATTAGTTCAAATCGGTGGGCAGGAGGGAGAGCAGGGGAACTCAGCTTGGGCTTCAGCTTACCACAACTCCCAGGAAGGGAATACATCTGGTAACCATGGAGCCAGAGGGGGCACTGACACCCACCCCAAGGGACTCTGAGAACCCAGTAAAGTAGTTGCTGCTACTTATCAAAAATGTCCTCTGTAAAACATGGGTTCAGATAAAGTGGAGAAACACATTTTGAAAACAAACACAGATTAAAGAAGCAGCAATACTGCTAACTCTCAGTACCGGCTAAAACTGACTCTAAATTGTTAATAAAAGTTACTCTTTTTAAGGTCTTGGTGCCATATGTCACATTAAGGGCTTTTTGGGGATGGTTTTCTGTTGAACTTCTCAGCATGGAGGTGTGGAATGATACAGCGGACATAACCTTAACCAAAAGCCTTAACCTGAGATTCTGGTCCCAAATCAACTTTAGAGTCCTGCCAGTGGGCCCAGGCTGGATTTTGTTCTTGAGCAGGCAACTGTTATATAAAAACAGCTGCCATAAAGTGTTTCAGCAAGCAATTCTGGTCACCAAGGAGGACAGGCTCCAAGTCTCAGAGGTTTCAGTAACTACCTGGTCAGCCCCATTTGCTAAACAACTGGAACGCAAGCATGCGATACGCCAAAGTACAGAGAAGGGACAAAGGGAAAGAAGTCTGAGTGATGCCTTTGCCTTGTGAATAATGAACAGTTCAGGAAGGTCAACCCATTACAACGGAAACTGTTTAATTATTAATTATGCACAATCTATGAGCAAAAGGACAAGTTCAGAATGTTTAATGTGTGCTAACTTCAATCCGACTCTCTCTGGGTATTTTGTTATTAGCACTTGTCAGCAAGGTACTCAGGCATAGAAAAAGGCAAGCCACAGAAAATCTGAGTGTGTGAGTGTGTGAGTGTGTGTGTACCTTACGCACTCAAAGAGGTGGAGGGTGGGGAGGCAGAAGGAAGTTCAATCCTAATCGCAGCTGCTGGGAACTGAACCCAGGGCTTGCACATGCTACGCAAATGCTCTACCACAGAGCTGCATCCCCAGCCTTCCCCCTTCCTCTCCCCATTTATTTGGGGGGTACTAGAGATTGAACTCGGGGCACTCAACCACTGAGCCACATCTCCAGCCCTATTTTGTATTTTATTTAAAGATAGGGCTTTACTGAGTTGCTTAGCATCTTACTTTTGCTGAGGCTGGCTTTGAACTGGTGATCCTCTTGCCTCAGCCTCCCGAGTTGCTGGGATTACAGGCATGCGCCACTGCATCCCCAGTCCTTTTAATTTTTTATTTTGAGACAGGGTCTCACTAATTTGCTGAGGTTGGTCTTGAACTTGTGATCCTCCTGCCTTGGCCTCCTGAGTAGCTGGGATTACAGGCATGTGCCACTGTGCCTGGCCACTTTGTGACCTTGAGAGCAGGAAGGTACATTGGATACTCCAAATATAGAAAATGTAACTGAGAAAAATGCTTTTGAAATGACTTACTTAAAAGGGAGACCATGATTTTAAAGAGGTGTTCTTTTTTGAAACCATGATATATTTTGGTTTTAACTGGGTCCATGCTAATCATTAATGCTTATTACCAACTCCCACTCTCCCCTGCCACAAAATCAATCCAGTAACACTGGTAAGATATGAAAAAATTATGAACGGTGGTTTGTATCTTGTGTCAATGTCAGTTTCCTGATTGTGATGTTGGACAATACTTACATTACCACTAAGGGAAACTGAGTGGAGGGTACATAGGATCTCTATTTTTTCTTATAACTACATATAACTCTAAAATTATGTCAAAATAGAAAGCCTAAAAAGATAAAGGGGCTATTTTTTAAAACTCAAATAAAACAGATTCTTAGTAGAACTCTATTTTATATAAGGGAAAAGCCTAAGTACACAATTGGAAAAAAGTTAAGGGGCCTTTGTTTTAGGAATATTCCTGAGGACTTCATTTTTGGCCTTTTCATAATTCAAGATGACCATGGAACCTGACAGTGGAGAGGTAGTTAATTCAGATGCTGACGGGCA